CCCCCCCCCCAAATGTAGGAAAACATTTGTAGCCTGAGGAGACTGCAACTATTTGGTTGAAGGGAACACATTTGTCTATCTTTTTTATTATTCTTTAGAAGCAAGCAATCATAATTCTTGAGATATCACACCCTAAACATGACTTCTCAGATAATAATTTTTTTAATAAATAGATTAGGGTCTGGAAAATATGTTTTGCAATCCTTTTCTGGGTCCCCAGCAACAAATAAACTAATTATTTATCCCATGCCATATTTTCGGATCACCGCTCTCTTCATCCCTGCACCAAAATCCTTTATGTCTCTTTGTATTTGACCACTTGAGGTGTTTCAGTTTTTCAGCCTCCATCATCCGATCCCTGATCCAGTGGGAGTCTAAATGAGGCTGTGATGAGCATCTGCACAGATATGCTTGGTCAGGTGAAAATGCTAGACTGATTGATCAATACTTCTCTAAGAGCCAATTGAAACAGTCTCTAACAGGCAGCGAGACCATGGTTAGAATCAATCGACCCTCACTTCTCCTGCTCCCGAGTCAAAGCCATTCTCAATATTTCTTCAAGCACTAAATACACAAGGATTTCACCTGATATCCACGAGTACAATCATCCTGTAAAGATGGATCAACTCAGTTACTTTGGTTGCCACTGTGTATGTGATTTCTTGATGCATGGAGATATAAGTTACTTGCACCCCATTTGTAAGGACAATGTTAAGGTTTGGTGGTCAGTGAAGGCATAGACAACCATTTTCAAGTTCAAGGCCAAGTAGACACAATTGGCCCCTGTCAGATTTTTAACTTTTCTAACTCAATACGTTAGAAATTCTAACTCAATACGTTAGAATTTCTAACGTATTGACAACATAAAAGCAGCTTAAGTTCGAATCCATGAGGATATACATTCATTGGATCTTAAGTCCAATGCCAGTCGTGGCCTAATGATTAGAGAGTTGGACTTGTAATCTGAAGGTTGTGGGTTTGAGTCAATTCCAGTAGGAATTATCAGTGGGGGGAGTGAATAACCAGCGCTCTCTTCGACCCTCAATACCATGACTGAGGTGAGACCCTTGAGCAAGGCACCGAACCCCCAACTGCTCCCCGGGCGCTGCAGCAATATGGCTGCCCACTGCTCCGTGTGTGTGTTCACTACTCTCTGCTGTGTGTGTGCACTTGGATGGGTTAAATGCAGTGCACAAATTCTGAGTATGGGTCACCATACTTGGCCACATGTCACTTCTTAACTACTCAGCCATTCTGGTTCTGTTTTATGGTGTTGATCTTGTCTGTCTGTCCAATTTTAGATATTCTGGAGCATGGCTTAGGGTTTCATTTCATAACAATATTCAGCTTTGACTTGTACTTTTCTTTATCGCTCTCTTTCTCTCTGTTGTTCTCCTGTTCTCTGTGAGCATTCAGCAGTAAAAGAAGGCTGGAAATGCTGTTGTTGTGGCATTGAAGACCTTACAGATGTCTCTTTTCTCTGCTGATTGGCTGTGGCGTGCATGTAATGACTTGAAAGAGCAGTTAACAATTCACAAATCTTCATCAGTCTGTTTTGAGATGGACACTAGAAATTCACAGAAAAACGTAAACTGTACAGCTTCACTTGATTGCTCATAAAATCAGTTTTGGTCTGCATTGTTACATTTGAACTTTGCAAGCTGTATTTTAAACTTGCAATACAGAACACTTTCCCTAAACAAACAAAAACTTGAAATAAATGTAAACAGCCAAGGGGTCGCACCGTTTTTATACATATACACATCTGTCCGCTTTGCTTGATTGCTCACAAAATCAGTTTTGGTCTGCATTGTTACATTTGAACTTTGCAAGCTGTATTTTAAACTTGCAATACAGAACACTTTCCCTAAACAAACAAAAACTTGAAATAAATGTAAACAGCCAAGGGGTCGCACCGTTTTTATACATATACACATCTGTTCTAGTTTTAACTTTGCTTGTGTTTGTTTATCCTCAGGGCTGCCCAGAAATTGAATCTGTCTTCCAAGAAGAAGAAGCAGCGCCCTGCGCCCCCTGTGGCATGTGATCCACCCCTTTTTCCCACCAACTTCAGCGGCATCCTGCAGGTGTCTCCGCCCCCTGCTCCGCCCTGCCTCTTACGGGCAGTCAACAAAGTTAAAGACACTCCTGGCATGGGCAAGGTACGATCTTTAATAATGTAGCAAAAATGTCTGCTTTTAGATCTTGTTGTTTTATTAGTCTTCACTCTTATTAAGTCTGTTTTTCACCAACATATGAACATATGTAAATGCTTTTGCAAGCTAAACAGATTCATTTCAACACCTAATCAACTTAGAACAGGCTACTTTTATTATTTACTTAGCTCTAGCAGCAATGGTCACCTACCAATGCTAATGTCCCCTTCTAGTGTAGTTGGAATAATCATAATTACGCGTTTCGAGCACATTAATGATAAAGGGAAGTGAGAAAAAGTTTGGATGATAACCTAGTTGCAGAATACAGAGAGACGTTGGCATGTCAATTTGAAACGTCTTGGAAAGCAGGTTTGTAGTGAATGGTAATAAATGGATTTGGAAGTTATTTTAATTTTACACGCTGTGTTTCAATCATTTGAATTACACAACTTATGGAAAAGTTTAAAGTTAATCACTCACTTCATGTAACAGGTGCACTTGAAGGAAGCATAGTTTAACAGATTCAAGGTTAGAGAGTCATGCTTATGTAGCTTTTAATCTTTAACATTGTTACAAATAACTCTCTCTTGTGGACCAACTATAGTTTACCACAGATTTTCACTTTAGTGTCTGGCTTAAATCCTGCTACCAGGAGTGGGGTTCGAACCCATGGATCATAAGTCCAACACCTTAACCACTCAGCCATCCTGATCTGCTTTTGTTAAAGATACTTTGAAATATGTTGTTTCTTATTCAAACTTTGGCATTTTGTCCATTAGTTCTTTGTTCAAATTAACTATCTGTTCTAGGACAGAAGTAATGTAGTTTTTCCATAACTGTTTATAGTTTTTGGTTTTGTCCATTGGATCTTAAATCCAACACCTTAACCACTCGGCCATCCTGGTGTTTTTTATTTGGTTGTAGGTTAGAAATAGCTTCTATAATATGCATTTAAGAGTCTGCTTTCTCTCATCACTATAAGATAAAGCAGGTTTTCTTGATTAGTTTGATTAATGATTCATTTAAGCTAGAATTGACATTATCTACCAGGAGTGGGGTTTGAATCCACAAGGACATTTGTCCAGTGGAACTCCATTGGAAGCACAGTGCCTTAAGCACTCAGCCTCCCTGGTTGGTGTTTTTGCCATGATATTTGCAGATGCTACCTGAAGGAACACAGAGCCTCATTTGTCAGCACTGCTGTGTAAGTTCTGATGAGATGGGCAGGACTGGGGCGTTAAGGCTGGATCGATTGAACATGTGATGGCATCTGGTTTCTTTTGTATCTTGCTCAGAGCTCAAAGGTGAGCTCATTAACTGAAAACAAAGGGCCAAGGACAGCAGAATCAAATGGGCAAAAGGATGGAGGCAAAACAGACACATTTTAATATAATTAAACAAGAAAATAACCGCGTTCACCTGGTATTAATATCTGTTCAAAAATAGAGGTCTTTCCCACAAAAGGTGCTGACAGGAGATGCATTTTCTATGGATTCCATGCATTTTGTTCCACAGAAGAAATAAAGTCATGCACGTTTGAAATTACTTTAGGGTGAGTAAATGATGACAATATTTTGCTTTTTGGACAATCTATCACTTTAATATCAGGTGTAAACTGGGCCAAAATGATAATAAATTGTGAACTGAAAGCACCTTCAGTCTTAATTTTGTGACACAGGCGTCATAAAACACAGCTAGCTGAGAAATGGCGGCATCAGATCTGTGATTTGGCAACGTGAGAGAACATATGGGGCGGATACAAGAGAATGTTTCCTGCAGAATACAGTACATGTAGATATCACAAGTGAAAGTGTTCTGCTGCAGGAGAGATGCAGGTGAAGAGAGGTTTAAGATGCATGAAGGCAGAGGAACATATACTTTTGATATGACATACTACAATATTGGGTGTTCTTCTCATCTGTCCTGGCTGGTCCATAAGGCTATTGTTAATAATATGTAGTAGTCATTTAGCATATACTTTCCTTCCTAACAGATGGAAGTACAGGGTGTTTATTACAGGAACAGACCTCCTGAAGCAACCCGAGGTTAAATGTCTTGGTTAAGAGAGGAATGGTGAAAAGAGATCATGAACCAGAACCTTCTAGGGGCCCCATTTGTTAAGACGTGCATATAATGATCCTTAATGTGAACGTATAACAGTTTCCAAAATTAGATCAAATAAAACAAAACGTGTAAACAAATTAACTCTACTTACATAATGCCCACATATATGTTCTTATGGTTCAGCTGGTTCAATGTTGAACTGTTGATGTATGTGTAAGAACATTTTCACGTCAGTTTCTGCCTGTATAAATTGTTCCTCACATTTGATGTAAAATCCATTTGGAATGAATACAAAGGCAGGATATTCAACAACGTTATTACCGAAACTCAATATAGTCAAGAAGTTAGTTGATTGGAGTTTCAATCCTCATTTGTCTGTTGGATCTTATAGGAACCACCTCAGTTCAATTTCCAACACAGTCACATTGCTATATTCTTTTTGAAATTTACATTGCTTTATCAGGATTGGGGTTTGAACCCATGAGAACATTTGTCCATCAACTCTTAAGTCAACACCTTAACCACCCTGATCACTTTGTAATGCAAAGTAACCCTTTTTTGCTTTTACTGGTACTTAAGAAATAGTTTTGAGAAACTAATTTGTTTGTAACATAACCACATACTGTATAAGCCAAATTACTGTTTTCTGTTTAAAATTCACACTGATCTACCAGGAGTGGGGTTCAAACCCACAAGGACACTTGTCCATTGGATCTTAAGTCCAACACCTTAACCACTCGGCCATCCTGGTTTGTTGTGCAGTCTGCGTGCCATCACACTACTGGCTCAGTCCTTGTGTTATTCTACTTAAGATACAAAAAAGTGAAGATATGCTTCATATCCTGGTTACTTCTCCAAGTTTTTTTTGTTTCCAGAGTGGCTGGTTGTGCTTGTCTCATCCATACACTTCAGATCAGAAAACCATTCAGTTGAATTGCTAGTAAACCAGCATCATTATACAGTGCAAAAGCAATTTCAGTACCCTCAACCAAACATAATGGAAAGTCTTCAGCCCCCGTCACTCTGTCTGTCTCTCTGTCCTGTCTTTACGGCTGCATTCCTTTATCAATTTAGATGCTCAGTCAGCACACCGTTCACATCACTGATTTCTGCTGTCAGTTTGTTGTTTTTTCATTTAAAACCACCCGAGTAAGCTCTCGTACAGACAAAATCCGTCAAACGCATGCATTGGTACGAGCAATGACAGCGGAGGAGCCCCGCATGGTTAAAGTTGATCCTGATCTTCAGCGCATCGCAGGGAAACCAGCATATCTGGAATTCCTCTCAGACATCGGAGGATGGGGGATATTCATTTGTGTTTGGACTCAGTCTGTGACGATTCAGGTCATGATATCTAGTGCTGGCACCTCCCAAAAAGTCTAACTAAACAGAACCAGCTCATATGGCTGTGGGTTTGTCAAAAGCATCTTCTGTCAAATTTTTGAAAGCTGATTTTGAGAGACTCATAAGTAACCACATACTGAGAACTTTTGGTGAGTTCATAAAAAGTCATCTTGCATTGGAACAGCTTGCGTTCATCTGTAAACAACACCCACATTTAGGCTGCATGTTGTGCGTTGTGCTGGCAAACTAAAATGAATCGTTCGCCAGTCAACCGGAACATAAGCAGGATGGTGGGCAATGCAAATTCTGGCATTTGCAGCCGAAAAATGTCACCTTTCTCAAGGGACAAGGCTGTAACAGTGGCCTTTGGATATAAGAACATTGTGCGATAAGATATTGATGGGTGTAGCTGCTCTATACGGCTGCTTTTGTGGCGCCCAAAGAAAGTAATCGGCTTTGAGACAGAGATGAAAAACACAGATATATAATTTGTATTTGCACTGAATAGAACTAAATAAATAAAAAACAGTATCTGAAATAAAATTGTGATTTGCACTCTGGCAAATTTACATGTGACATTCTTCTTCCATGATGATGTGAATATAATTAGGAATTCATTCTGAATGTTTGTGTGTGAATGATGTTGCCCTTTCATCTCTAGCCTTGCGGTTTCGCACCAATTCACACAGTGAACATGATTTGCACCATCAGGGTTTTATGACAGTGTGACTAGATTAAATACCAAGGGCATCTCCATTATCTTGCTAATGATAAAGCAATTGATGGGTGATTTTCAAACACATCTGGATGCTACATTTGTACATATATCCATTGAATTTAACAGATCAAAGCTGTCAAAGCAAGTCTATCTTTTCCTAAATCCTGTTTCATCACTGAGACTCTTCCCATTCCTCACTATCCACTATCCACATTCTGGTGGTTTATACACTCTAAAAAATGCTGGGTTAAATACAACCCAGTGCTGGGTAAAATAGGGACAAACCCACCAATTGGGTTGTTTTGGCCCAGCGTTTGGGTTAAATGTTTAACCCAACCTTCTGAGTAGTAACCCAACCGCTGGGTAAAAACAACCCAATTGCTGGGTTTGTCCCTATTTTACCCAGCACTGGGTTGTATTTAACCCAGCATTTTTTAGAGTGTAGGAATCCTGTGAGTTTGACAGATTCATCAATCTTCTTTACAGTGCAGACACTGACCTTGAAAAAAAACTATATTCAGTGGCTAATTAATTTTTAACAGCGCTTTCTAAAACTGAAGTGTTAAAGAAAAACACCTTACAGGCATCATGGAGTGAGCAGAGCGCATGTGAATTCAATAGTCTGAAATATTCATCCCAATATTCTTGTGATAATTTAACTGTGTAAAACAGAATATCAGTTTACACAGCAAGGAAATATGACACCAGCGAATGATTCATAACTTTATATTACATGTAAATGTCTTTTTAATTAAACTTTGCAGACCCTGTCGAAGATAACAGATTAAAGCTTGATATAAAGTCCTGTTCTGCCCTAATCTATCTATTATAATGGACATATCAACTGCAGGCTTAATGATTCTATAGAGTAATCCAAGAG